GAAGAAGTAATTCCTAGAAGAAATGGGCTCAGGAAACAAGTGATAGAGGTAAAGGAAGGGCCCTTGGACCTGGGGAGTGAGGAGGGTAATGGTAACTTGCCTGGGGGGAGGGGAGGGAGAGTGCACTCGGTCCTCAGTCCTTAGGGTTTTAAGGGTGGAGATTTTAGAGGAGGTCCCCCAGGGAAGATCCCAACAGAATATTCAGCAGTTTTGCAAGTATGCCCTTTCAGGGTCTAGGTCTCCACTGATTGATTGGTCCATGCCAGGGCAAGGGGTCATTGTCCAGTGCATCTGTCCCTGAGGCCAGCCTGGGGGCATTGCTTGTCTGGTTTTGCTGCATTTCTGGGCCTGGAGCTGAAGTACAACTGAGGCCTAGATGTTATTTCTAGGGAGGAAAGGTCAGGAGGTCCAAACCTGTGATCAGTGATACGCTAAGGAGGAAAGGTCACCCTGGGGATGAGGTCCCACCCTACAATTGTCCTTTGCTAGGCACCCAGGGCTTTCCACCCTTGTGACCTTCTGTACCTGGCCCATCGTCCTTGCTCTGCTCATGTCTTTCTAACTGCCTGCCACAATGTGAAGAGTCCATCCTAATTACAGGGTAATCAGTGAGTTTTCAGGGTACCAGAATATTTACTGTCACAGTATTTTATCCACTTTAGACATTGATTGTCTTTTACTTCATGGGTATGTTATGATCAGTGCCAGGAAAGTTGATTTACAAGGCTTGCATTTATTTTGTCCTTAGTAATTTTGCCTTCAAAATGAACAAATTATGGAATAACTGCCAATGTTTGTTATATTATCTATGTCACAGTTAGTCTAGACCTCGGTGACATTTATTGTACTTTTTAAATGTGACAAAAAACTGTAGAATAATTATTATTTGCATTTAATGAGCATTGCTCATTTAACCCTTACAGCAGCTGTGGTAACTTGCCCACAGCCACATAGTAAGGGCAATCTACCTTAATTTCCTAGCTTTCTAGATTTCATATCTGTTGACCATTCTTTGGCAATAAAGAGACCAATTGTAAGAGCAGAATAAAATAAGCTTATAAAATAACTCCTTTTTTCTTTTTATTTCATGTCTTACTACTTATTTGAAAAAATTTGAATAGTTCTTAGATCTAGCAAAACACATTTTTACTTTACATAAGTCAGAATTAATAATAATGCTGCCGCCCTGGCCAGGTGGCTCAGTTTGAGTGTCATCCTGTGCATCAGAGATTGCGGGTTTGATTCCTGGCCAGGGCACATGCCCGGGTTGTGGGCTTGAACTCCAGTAAAGGGGTGTGCAGGAGGCAGTTGATCGAGGTTCCTCTCTCACATCAATGTTTCTCTCTCTCCCTCTCCCTTTCTCTCTCTCTAAAAATCAGTAAACGAATCTTTAAAAAAATCCCTAACAACAGAAAACCTAAATAAATAAATAATTCCATCATCTTATATTAAGAAAGATACCCCCCTCCCCCCCAAAAAGCCACAACTAGGTAAATGATTGTTGATTGCAGAAGCTAACGATTAAAAACTGGGAGGCAAGGGCATAAATTATTGTTTTTGCATTTTTATTTGAGAAATTATTTTACTTTTATGGCTTCATTGAAACTATATTCTGACAACTTTTTAAAAAAATGTTTCTTTGAGGCCTAAAATAGTTGTGCAATTGGTTGAGAGTTGGACTTGGGAGAAACAGTGATCAGCTGCTGACTTGCTTTGGAAGCAAATAACAAAATGAAAATGATTAGGTGATAGCGATTGGTGTTTTAAATAACTTAGTTATTTAGAATTGTAAATAGAATTGAGTGTCCTTGAAAAACTTTTGGAATCTACAAAGAATAAAAAGGACTTGGCAGAGACTGCTGAAGACTCCATTGCAGCACTTCTGTGTGACTCGCTGGGACCCGAGGGCAGGGGAGGCCAGGCAGTGCAGTGTGCAGCTTCCATGTGCTGCTCTTAAAAGAAATGGTATGGTGATTGAAAAAGAAAAACATTTTTAATTGGGCAAAAAAAAAGAAGTTGGGGTGTGCTCTGTCTTTCCACCCCTTCCACCTGCTAGAATGTGGATGTGGTGGTGAGGTTTGGAGCTATCACCTTCGAATATGAGATGGAAGCCAGGTGTAGGGGATGATGGAGCCACACAGTGGAAAGAGCCTGGGTCTCCACACTGTGATGCCACCATATCCGCCTTGGGCTGGCGGTGCTCAGGCTGTTCTGTGCCAGAGAGAAACCAACCTCCTCCTTGGGTACGCCATGGCTATGCTTAGCTTTTTGGTTTGTTTTAATAGTAGCCTAGCCTGTTGATAAACTTGATTCTATAAAATAAAAAAACTTACACTTGGCAAAAAGCACAGTAATCAGAGTCGAAGCATAAGCCACAAACTGGGGAAAATGTTTTCAAAAGGCTGATTTTAATAAGTGCTTCTAGATAAGAAAAAAATTATGTAACTTAATAGGACATCGGCTAGAAGGTACCAACTGATTTCACAGGAAGATAAATAGATATGGCTCATGAAAATAAGAAAGAAAGGTGCTCTTATGGCAATAAGAAAAAGAAATGAAAAGTAAAATTACACTAAGATATTGTTACCGAACAGAAAGAGCTTGTCCACCCAGCTCTAGCAGAGCCAAACATTAAACCCCGAGAATTGCAATGGGGAAAATGTATATTAGCTGTTTCATGCTGAATTGCACCGTCCAGGAGAACAGTAACTAATGCTCAAAAGCCCAGACTCCAGGATGGCGTGTAGGTTACAGATCGCTAGGACAAAATCACAAGTCACTGTGGGTTGAGGTCATGCTGGGAGCTGATTGGCCTGAGGTGAGGTAAGGGTAAGAAATCATTTCTTCAGATCTTGAGGACAGCTCTGAGGTCTGTTCCAGTGACCCTCTGCCTGGTTTCATGGGATTGTTCCACCGTAGGGCTCAGGAGCTGAAACTTAAGTCAAGACGTTATCTTTAGCCTGCCAGAGGTCTGGACTGGGTGACCATTAGTCAGGTCTGGGCTACTGTCTCTCCTGCCGCCTCGGGGATTGCTGATTATCAGGGTTTGGAAAAGGCTGGGTCTCTGAGGGATATATACAGGGTGAGGCACAAGTAGGTTTACAGTTGTGAGTACAGGAAACAATTTATTTTTGTATTATTATTTGTATTACTTTTGTATTATTAACAATACGAAACATTTTGTTTTGTATTTTAATTATAAACAGTTTATTTTTCTATTATTTTCCATATGAACAACCTATTACCTCACCCTGTGTGTGTGTGTGTGTACACACACACACACATATATATACACACAGAGGGAGATATGATTTCTAGAGCTAGGGCTTAAAGCTAAATTTAACAAAGTCTTGAGGACCCTTGATTTCAGTATCATTTTCATCAAGCAGATTGGCAAAACCCCAAAAGTTTGATTAAAAGCCTCCGTGGTAGGAAGCCTGTGCTCCCCTGCGGCTGGCCCCTCACCCACTCTGCTTCGGCCACACCGCACCGGCCTCCTTGCTGGGCAGTGTCAGCTGGTGGCCTTTGCCCTTACACTTGAGATCCTTCTGCCCTTTGCCTGGACTGCTGGTTCCTTAGGGATCCATTTGACTCACTCATCTCCTTTACTCAAATGTGCTCTTCTCAGAGAGACTCTTCCTGACCACCCATTTCAAACTCTAACACCCCACGCCCCCTTTTCCTTACCCTATGCTATTTTTTCCTCTAGAGCACAGATTTGTAATTTATTCGGTTTATTATTTTCATTATCTATCATGAATTGTCCCACCAGAATATAAGTTCTTTGCAGGCAGGGATTTTTGTTGTTGTTCCCTGAAGTATTCTAAGCACCTAGAACAGCCCTCATCATGAAATTTTTAATTAAACATTTGTTAAGTAAATGTAACAGCATAGGAAATATAGTCAATAATATTGTAATAACTATGTACAGTGCAGGTGGGTACTAGAAATATCAGGGGGAACATTTTGTAAAGTATATGATTGTCTAACCACTATGCTGTATACCTGAAACTAATACAAAATAATATTGAATGTAAATTGACAAATAAAATAAAAGAAAAAAACAAAAGAAATTCATCTATGTCAGCTACCCTCCAGATAATAAATATATGTTGTTTTAAACTGCTAAAAAAAAATGTAACAAACTATATTAGTAAGGCTGTGGGGAAGCAGGTAGGCAAATCAGTTGTTAACCACCCATGGAGGACAATTTGACAATATTTATCAGAATTGCAGTGTATGTACCCTTAGGCCCAACAGTTGTACTTCTAGTTACTTGTTACAGTTACTACTGTATACACAAGATTACTCATTGTAATTTTTATTTATATTTTTAAATAATTGCGTACGATTAAAAACAACTGAAATGACTGAGTAAAATGTTGCTTATGTCAAATATGGCACATTCACAAGACAGCGATTTGATGAAAAGATCGCTGAGATTTAGCACAAAGGAAAGAACACTGTAGAGTGTACTTTTTTTCTGTAAAAAGAAAGAAAAGATGGTGGCAGGAATAAGAATAGGTGTCCATTTTTATGTGCATATGCATAAGGAAATTTTGAAAGACTATCCAAGAAGTGTGGAAGTGTGGTGGAAAAATGAGGGAGCTTGGTAGACAAGGGAAAGGGTTGGGAAGACCAACTTTCACTGTTTACCTCTTTGTATTTTTTGTTTTATGAAGCAACGGAAAGTATTTTCAGTTCAAAAAATTAAGCTGAAAAATAAAACTGGGAATGGTCTGGTCAGTGCTGTAAGTCAAAGGAACATTTAAAATATTTAAATATCTGACAAATATCTTTAGCTTATTTGAAGGATAAAAAACTATTTAAAAAACGATTCCAATTGTAAAATAAGCATTTTAATGGACAAGTTTTATGCTATTTTATTATTCTTTATGATTCTGAAGGTCACATGGGTACTACACTTTGTGCTATGTATGTTCTGATTTTGTTGTTGTTGTTGTAGATGATCATCTGATTCTATTTTCTTTTCTTTTCAGTCCTGATGACATTGGGACCTGCTGGTATATCCTTCTGTCTGGCTCCGTGTTCATTAAGGAATCCATGTTTCTTCCAAGAAGCAGGTATCGTATGGACATTCTCTAATAGGTTATCCATGGAGCTTGAAATCCTTTTGCAGAACGGAGTTCTTTTGCAGAAATCTTTTCCTGTTTCCTCTTCTGACACAAAGCAAGGCAGTGCCTTGGGGTGTTAATACATAAATCTTTAAGAAAGTACTGTTTTATGTTGTAAACACTGTTCCGGTCTCTTTAACAAAGGGCAGGAACAAAAGACATGTTGGTGACATGTCCATTTGTTACATGAACATGTCAAGCTAATTTAGGACACATGTGTTCCTGGGGAACAAAACCAGCCTCTATAACAGGCAGTCTCATAAACATCCAAAGAGAGTAAAAGAAGGTTCATTGAGACCACATGGGACTAGAAATGGAAAGCCAGGAACTGTTGTTGACTTCTCTGCCTCTTAGGACCATATGGTCTCTCATTTTTGCATCTGTCTGAGGACTGGCTTCCCGCTCTCTAAGGCTATTAATGTCTTTCTCCCTGTGACTTTGGCTTGTATGTGCCAACTGTTGATTTATGACCTTATGTCCCTAATGTTTACACCATTTGACTGTAGTGCCTGTGCCTTTTCTTTGGATTCTTCAGGCTATAGTCTGATTGGCTTGGCTTGGGGCCGATATGTTCTAGTTCCAATCAGCTATGGCCAAAGAGGGTTAGGACTCATCTGGCGTAAATGTGGCTGTGTATTTCCAGGTTTCCTGACAGGGGATATCAGCACTAAGATTCAGTAGTAGTTTTTTCCAACTGTGTATTTTTTACAAATATTTTTATTTTGACTTAAAATTTTAAAAATTTTAACTGTTTAAATATCTTTATTTAAAATTACTAATTAAATATTTTATTTAAATTGACGAAATGTATTGAAGACTAGTGCTCTCCCACCCCCCCTTCTATAACAACCTAATATTAAAATATATTCTTGATAAATAATTCAGAGAGGGTTAAGGACATGTTAAGAATCCATTTTAAGAATGTGAACAAATTTTTATAAAAAGTCAGAGTCAGTGAGATAGGGAGAGGTAATTTATATGGTCCTGGATGTGGTGATGGAAGGCAGTGAGATGGGCCGCTGGCCAGCGTGGTGGTGAGAGTGCCAGAGACACGTTGCGTCTAACGAATGACAATCTCTGAAGCTCCCGTGCCTGTTCCGCCTTCCACTTCTCTGAGATCAGGTTGGCAGGCATTACTTACTCTCTTTGGAACATGGCCCCATGAGGGAAGGAAGCTGCCTGTTTGTTGTTCTTATAGTAGCAATAGTTGTAGTAATAGTAATCGTGTTGATGGTGGCGGTAGTAGTAGCAGTGGTAGTAATAGTTGTAGTAGTAATAAAATGGTGAAAAAAAATAGCTAAGTCTTTGGTAGTGCTTTCTACTTGCCACGTACTATTTTAAATGCTTTCTATGTATTGAATTGTTTAATTTCACAACTATCCTTTGAGGTAGATACAATTATTATCTGCATTTGATGACTGAGGAGATGCTGGTAATGTAGAATTCCTAGAAGTCTGCCTGGAAAGCTTGGAGTGACCCTGTGAAACATTTCCTGTAATTCTAGAATTCCTTTCCCAGAGGAATGGAGAACTGAGTAGCAGTACTTTTCTACTCCCTCAAACACAGGACCTATTGTTTGGTTCCTTTGTGGAGACCATGTCTGACTCTATTTCTGAACTTGGAAGAAGGTGCAGGCAAAGACTATTTAAGGATTGGCATATTTTAAAAATTAATGTAAAGTGTAATAATAATTATATAAATATAAATTATCACAGATAAAGAAAAGAAAAAAATGTCGCTTAAAAATCTCTCTACCAAGATAAGCTCTTTAATATTTCAGCGTTTTTCCATCTCATCTTACATGTTCCACATGCTAAAGAACATACCTTATAAATAATTTAATATCTTGCTTATTTCAATTAACATGTATATGCATTGCCTCATAATATTAAAAGCTGTTTGTAAGGACTTACTCTTTATACATCTTAATATCTAGTTAATGTTCAATTATTTGAACTTTGCACAATTTAGTTATTTGTTGTAAAGGGTAAATTATGCTTTAATGAATGTGTTTTGGAACGGATGCATCTGAAAGAGAACAGAGGCTAGCGACCCCTCCTCTTGTTGCAAGGTCTGCTGTACAAACTCAGTCTGTAGCCCAAGGTGCTAGCACAGCAAAGGAGCCTGTGATGGGCTTTCTGGACTACCCGCCATCCTCCGCTAGTCAAGTAACAGCTTGTTCTAACTTGTGGAATAGGAACCTCATGTTCAGAAAACTGTTGTTCTAGAGGAAAGAGGACTTGTAGTTCAGACCTATTTCATGAACACATGTTTGGGACTCCACGTCTAATTATTTTAAAAGATGACATAAGTCACTATTTCTCTGGCTGCATGTCAAATGCTTGCAAGTCAGTACTCTAATGGGATGAAGGAAGGAATGGTGTTTCAGACTGAATGACAAGCCAGGACTATATATAGGTTATTCCTTCATGTTGCACCTGGTGACATTTGCTCTTTCCAAGTTGTTTGTTTCCTCTGGAGATGTTGCCTTAGAAATAGTGCTGAGGTGGTTGTACTAGGAAAGAGTCTCTACTGGTACTATGCTAAAAGTTGACATTAGCGAGTCATATATATTTCTCCCTCTGGAAAATGTTGAGGTTTGATTAACAAATAATGTGGCTTAGGTGTTAGTAATAGTTTGCCGGTTTTACAAAATAGCTAATTCACAGACCATTTTCCACATTTACCATGTTTTTCTCATGTCAGCCTAGAAATTGGTTATCAGTATATATGATCAGTAATTTAATCATTCTCTTGAAAATTTCAACTCATTTGTACAGGTAATTTACCTTTAATAGTTAGTTATAAATCAAAGTACTTTGAGCAACAGTTTCATATTTTTAACTAATTCTCATGAAATTGCCTTGACACTGATATATCATCATGTGAGAAGGGTGTTATACATGACAGAAAATTTGTCATATGGCTCCCAGATTTTATTAGCTTTTTTGAATTTCTCAATTGACATTTAAGCCAGCATTTTATGTTTTTATTATTTAAAATTTTTTTTCATTTTCTTTTTGAACAGATAAAGGTTGTTTTGGTTGCATATTTTTACTTTGGTTGTTCAAACATGAATATTATTCCTTGATGATATTTATAACATTTATGGAGCCTATGACTTCCTTTGTAACATCCAGTGACAGCTTACGTACTCTTCCCCACTCTAAGCAGTTCCAGTGACACAAACGTTTTTGTGAGTTTCATTGTACAGCTATTAGATTTATCAAGTTTTGAAACATTGGTATTTGTACAAGTCGCTATAATGTCACTTATAATGTTGCCCTAAGATAGAGCTAAACTCTTTATTTAGAGTATAATTTTTATTCTTGAAGCAGTGTACGATTTATAGTTACATTTTTCTTAAAGTCTTATTTAAAATAAATTCAGTTTCTTTGTACGATCAGAAAGATAGTGGGCGAAGGTAATTTAGGAATGCAGCAAAGAATGTTCTGGTTCTCATTTAGGAAAATGCCAGAGGGGACCTTTGCCCGAGATGAAGATCCAAATGGTGTGAACTCTGTGTTTTTTCAAGCTTGTAGGCAATGCAGTGTGGTCACTAAGTTGTGCAAGTTGAGTGCTGCACAGTTTTATGATGTGCTGTTTACACCCATTGTCATGGTAGGCTGGTAAACTGAGACAGTGATGGGCAGAGGGTAGTGAAGTATCCTGAAAAGGAGCTCCTCCCACCCTAATTTTTTCAAAGTTATTCTTTGCAACAGCGGTAGGGCTGGAAAGCAATAGATGAAAATAATCTTATATAAAGTTGCAGGTTTAGAAATGGTTTTCTTAATGTATTTTTGGTTTGTTCTGCATAAGGGCAGGAAAATATTATTGCCCTACTGTGCTCTAAACCAGTGTATTTAAGGCGCTACAATAAAAATGGTTACATGCTTTACATTTTCTCACTTCTAAAACTGCCTGACTCTATAAATGCTGAAGCCTATTTTATAGTAAAGTCACAGTGTAATAACTTGGATTAATGTTATTTTTTTTGACTGCTGACTTCTTTGAAAGGTTGAGAATCTAATTTAGATAATAAAGATAGGCTTACTCTGTGTTTCTAAACTTTCAGCTTGCTGTTTGGATTATTTGTTAGAGAAGGAAATAGTTTACCTAGGCTGTATATTAACTCATAGAGTTGGAATCTTTTTCTTCCTAATGTGCAAGTCATTTTTATAGCCATTTGCAAAAAGAAAACAAAACAAAAACCCAGTATACTAGATATTAAAGACACGAAGCATTATTGGTACACAGACCCTTTGGATTTATGCTGGTCACAATCCTGGAAAATAATCACTCTTAGGACTATGTTCAACCTGCTTTTTTCCATCAAATCAATTTCATCATAGAGACCTCCAAAAAAGGACCTTTTCATAGAAATCATCATGCACACCATGTTTAATCATAAATAATATCTTTAGTCCTAACAGTAAAAAACTTTCTATGTTTTTCACAAACAGATCAATTGGTAAACAAGCTCTTTACTTCCTGTCAGTGTGGTCCCAGGACAGGGCTGTGAGGTTGAAGGAAAAGATAAGCCTGGGCCAGCCATAGGTCTAGGAAATTGGAAGATGCCAAGAGAAGGATTGTAATTAAACCTGGGAGCCAGAGGGATTAAGGACAAAGACCTATGCACAGAGGGGTGGGGCCTCCAGTTGCCCAGTTATATCAGGGGCAGACCTAGTTGTCGTCTGCGTGCTACGGTGACAAATGATACCTGTACCTGGCCAGCACTGTCGATGGAAACTGCTGAAATACCATCAAAAGTTAGGATTGGTTCATGGTTCCCTTTCATATTTATGGGTTATTCTGTCTCATTCTAAAATGGATTTGGTAGAGTTCAAATTTTGAGGTGCATTTCCATGTTATTTGAAGCATTAATAGAAACTTATATTAAGTTCTACTTACTGTTGGTCTCTACAGTAGGTTGTGGAATGTACAATGGA